ATAACCGTATTTCAGTTTTACAGAAACCACATGGTACTGTAATTGTGTAATACAGTGTATTACTGTAAAAATCAAGCTAATCAGTACACTAATTATTTTTTTTGTACGAAATATAAATTAGATTTCATAATTTTGATATAGAATTTATTTTTATTTTTATCCTACATAAGTACTACTGACATTCAAATCAATTAGACAAAATTATTACACAATACCATTTTTTTAATTTAAAACATTTCATATACATCACAAAATAAACAGTCTGCCAATGCTGGAAATTATGTGTTAATTTTTTACACGTGTAAAAATGAGGTGGGTGAGTTTAGGGTTTTGTGTTCATTTTAACAAAGTAAATATGTCAGAAAGGTTAGCAAAAAGATGTGTAAACCTGTTAAATTAACACATTTTGTGCTGTCCATCACTACACACATTGTTAAAAAAAGTACATAAAATCCTAAACAAAACGTTAGCATTTGACAAAATTATTGTAGAGGCACAATTATTATAATGAAATAGCACCCATTACATTCATAAAACTGCAGAATATAAATACATTAAGCAGTCAAAAAGGAAATGTCCAACACAGGGCAAAACACAGTTCTTTTCACAATACATGACACATAACCCCACCTTCAAAATATTTTTTCCAAAAATGTGTTGGATTCATGTACACTGGTGGCCAAAAGAAGTATTTATGTCTGACTGTCTACTCCATCTTTTCCACAGCATAGGAGTAAAAGTCATCATCAAAATAATCTTTAAAAAGCCAACAGAATGTTTTTGTCCACCTTTGTGAATAAATGAACTTCTCCAAAGATTGGTTCCTGTTCAGAACTTGACTGACAACATCAGAATGTTCCCTGGTCTGTATGGGTGTCCACAAACACAAATGTACTCCCGGTTCCAACACTGTAAGTAAGTAAGTAAGTAAGTAAGTAAGTAAGTAAGTAAGTAAGTAAGTAAGTAAGTAAGTAAGTAAGTAAGTAAGTAAGTAAGTAAGTAAGTAAGTAAGTAAGTAAAGAAAGAAAGAAAGAAAGAAAGAAAAAAAGAAAGAAAGAGAGAAAGAAAGAAAGAAAGAAAGAAAGAAAAAAAGAAAGAAAGAGAGAAAGAAAGAAAGAAAGAGAGAGAGAAAGAGAGAGAGAGAGAGAGAGAAAATGAAAATGAGAGAGAGAATTTTAATTTTAAAATGCCTTTTATTCCTATAAATCACTCTTAATTAAACACTTGTTCCAAACAAATTACACAATTATATTATATCAGATAAGTACGCATAAATAAATAAAAAAATAAATTATCCTCAACAACAGAGCACAGCGCTCCATTACAACACCACTTCATTTCAAATGTTAGTAGATCCTTTGTAGACTTATGAAAACAAAAATCTATCAATATTCGCGATTTGATTAGATTTGAAAACAGTATAACCACATCTTCACCCGACAATCTATCCACCATATTTTTCCTGCTCATGTAAGTGGCCAGTTTTGCCTGCCCTAGAACAAAATTCAAAAGCTGACAAGTTTACTTCGAACATATTTAAAACCAAAAATAAAATCCTCATGGAAAACAATTTGCTAAAAGAAAAAAAACACACTTTCCAATATTAAAAATAAAGGTTTCAGTCTGTCACATTCCATAAAAGCATGAAAAACCGTTCAGGATTAAGAACCATTGTTTTTACAAGCTCTGGTCCATTTTGAGATTTTGGTCTACTTTGCTTCCATAACATGTCTTCTATCAAACTAGTGACAAGAAAACATGCAAAATAGAAATGTAAGTGTTTATTTTATTGCACTTCACTATTTGCGCGTGTAGATTTCAATTACAATATACAGTATATCTTTAAAGTTTTTTTCTCCACTTCAGCATCACTTATATACACCAAACTTTACCGTTTTAATCTTAACTATATTATGAAGGTTTTTACTGCCGCTTTTACTTTATCAGCCGCCAACATCTTGTCAGTTCACTTCACTTTTAGTGTAAGCAAATTCTGAAACGCACCTACACCGGATCAGACAGGATCGATCAATCACTTTGCTGCCTTTGTTCATGTGGCTTGAGCTATGTGTCATTCCACACATATTTCTGACACTTTACTCTAGAATTGCAGTGTAAAAATGCCAGGCTCGCCCTTCACCTCTGCAGAAGGTCAAACGCTTATCGAGGTATAAAAGGTACAAAAACTGAGGCGGATATACCCGTTCAAAAGGTACTAATATGTACAATTTAAGTACTAATATGTGCCTTGGGTACTAATATGCACCCTTTAGATGTAAATAAGGTACAAAAGGTGAATTTTTTAAACCCAGTGACCCAGACTATACCTTTTCTTCTGAGAGTGAGATACAGTATGAGGCAGAATCTCACGAAACCTGTCAAGAACGTGCTCATATTCAACATAAATTCAACAGAACAAATGAGTGATTAGACTTTGCATGAAGAGAATGAAGACCATTTAGGTTTTCTGCATGCTGTCATTATTTTCACGATAGTCAAGGACATTTAAACCCCAGATTGTCACTATTTTAAAGTAAGAAAAACTATAGTTCTTTACAATTATTGACATATTTTCTTAAAAGTTATGTTTTTAGATAAACTGTAGAAAGTGCTGGAAGTATGTTTTGTGCTGCCCTTAATTTTTGCTGATAAAAAACATATTTTAATAATCACAACTGAGAAAAATGGGAAAAATAAATTTGATGCATTATAATCAATAAATAGTTTTACTACAGTAATGAGAATTTGCTTATAAAAATGTCACAAATGCAAAAACTAAAAAAACTTGTTAAAAAGGTATCATTTGCAAACTACTCATCTTGAACTGACAATGTAAAAATCATTTACAGCATTTATTAATCTTAGTTAATACTAACAGTTCTTCAAAATTCACCAGTGAGGTGTGGACTCTGTGCTGATGAGAGACACATTCATGCATGAAAGCCTCAGAAAAGTGAGGGTTTACAATCTTTTCAGTCGTGCATGCTGGGAATTCTGACCTTTAAAGATGGCATGAACTGTCACAAGTTAATAAGTAGATCAACTCTTGTAGTAAATTACAAAAGTAGTAAAGGATGTGCACGTGGGCGAGTCTCATGAAACCGGTCAAGAACATCTTCAGCTCACACTGTATTTCACCTCAAATTCAAATGAAAAAAATATGTATATAATGCATTTAGCTTAAAAAAGATTCAGGGGCCTACTGTAATTTTATTTAAATTTTCTTATAATATTTTTCTTTGATGTAGGTAATGAAATTAATTTATGTTGATTAAATTACTTAACTACTGTAAAAACAAAAAATGTAATTAAAAATATATGTTAAATAAATATATAACATATATATATTTATGTATTATAAACAAAGAAACAAATAACAAATATTATCATGATGTATGGTACAAAATTATAAAATGTCCACTGTATATGTTATTATACAGTCATTTGTAAAATGTGCTTAAAATGTCAGAAAAAAAAAAAAAAAAAAAAAAAAAAAAATGAATGGTCCTAAAATGGGCTTCATTTTCTTTATGCAAAATATACTTTCTTTTAATTTATTGGTGAAATGTATGTTCTTTACATGTAATAATTACCCAAGTAAAACCGAAACAACTAGATTTTACAAGTTCATCGAGTGAAGCTGGAATTTGTTTTCGTGTGAATTGTCCGAGTAATTGTAGTTTCAAAAAAGAACTTATTTGCATACGTGTGTGCACTTGTCTCTCACAAAAACATGCAAATTAGCTTGCATAATAACAGAGGCATTACGGCATGAAACGTGGCATATTCTGCTTTAGATTAACAAACAAACAAGCAAACATGATAGGTGATTAAAGGCACACAATGTAATTTCTCACCACTAGAGGCTGTTATAAGGCATAAATGGGGTAACGCAGCGCTGTTCTATCATATTAGATACATCTGAGTGTGTTGAAAGTTGTTATAATGCTACTCTGTGCATTCGCTCAACAGCTAGGCTACTATATGATACACTTGTTGCACATTGCAATGAGCTAGATCCATTTTAGGCATGGTAAACATGGTACTCACGGTAAAAAAAAAAACAAGATTTAAACAAAAAGACTAACTGTGTTAGTCAATAATTAATTGTATGAATGTATCCAAACAGTTGCTCACCTGTCTAATACAACATAATATATTAAAGCGTCTTAGGTGTTTCCATGGTTTCTACAAAATAAAACCGGAAATCCAGGGTAACACGGGTATGATGTCACTGATAGGCGACGCACGGACACTTAGAAACATTTGGGATAATGTAAGTGCACAAATCAGCAAAACATTGTTCTAGTGGTTTTTGGTTATTTTAATCCAAAAGTCGTACATATTGTGCCTTTAATTAGGCCTACTTATGAAGGAGAAGAGAGTAATGCTGAGATAACTCAGCCACCACTAGAGGACGCCATTGATAAATATTCATCATATCTCAGTCTGAACACAGTGCCACATCAGAGATGCTTCACGGTTGCCATGAAACTCGACACAGGTGTTATTTCCTGTCGGCCTGTACGACAATCAACAGAGTCACTGATCATACTATAAATTATAGTATGTTCGTTCACCCCAACATACATGACAGTCTCAATGGCTTCACTAGTGACTATCCTGATCTGTGAAGGCAAAGACAGCCGAATATAAGAGCCTCCATTTAAAAAAAAAAAAAACATCTACAACAAAATAAAGAAAAATATTTGCAATAAATTTGCTGCTTATAATTAATGTATTTCATCAGAATATAGGGGATTTTTGCCCTCATGGTGTCATTACAGCATCTACTATATACTATCTACATGGCTAACTAGACCATGATGTTAAACCAACCCGTTTAAAAACAAAAAAAATCCCACACAGATCCCAGTGAGAAAAGAGAGAAGCCGTGAGGGGTGTGTGAGGAGGTGTGGGTGTGTTCTCCTGATCCGGCCTACGGGATTAAACGGGTGAGAGGAGGCCGACAGATCCTCACACACTCCTCACATCACAGACTCACACTCGGAGAGCTGAAGATCTGTTAGTGGAGATGGGCCTGCGCTGGCTGTGGAGGAATCGGGTGAGCGCTTTACTGGCGGCGCTGCTGGTCTTCCTGCTGCTGACGCTCCTGGCCACACACTCCCTGCAGAACAACAGGTAACACACTCAAATACTGCAATACTGGCAGATCAACCCAACTAGGTGTAACAGATAAAGTTATTCAAGCAAATTCAAGGTGTTACATATCATTAGGAATCAAAACCATGAACCCTTGCGTTGCTAGAGATTCATGATTTACCATTAGAGCTATTTATCTCTGTGGGGTTATCATAGTTAACTAAAACTAAAAGGACTAAAACTTTTAAATAGCACTGGTTCTCTGGATGAAGGTTCAAATGAACCTGCAAATCTTCTCGTGTGGACCACACTCAGTTTAACTAGTGTTGTCTGAACTCAGATGCACATCACTGAACCACAGCAGAGTCTGCATGAAAAACTACTCATGGGGTTTGGGTTCTTTCCTTGGTGGATGCAAAAGCTATTTTCCGAATTGGGTTTGTGCACTAGGAAGCCACACTATACTGTAAGTTCACTAGAAAATAAGTAATTTGGACTCAAACAAGGTTTGCAATCCGGCCTGGTCTTGTGGTAAGTGCTTGCGTTGCGTATATTATAATGTACTTCGTATTTTCAGGTATTTACACTGTAAAAAAAAATTGTGTTCGCTCAACTTAACTTTTTGAGTTATCTTTCTGCACTGACTCGGTTAAGTTCTATTTACTTAAAATATCAAGTATGTTCAACAAAAAAAATTAAAGTTATTTGAACAAAGTTTAGTTGGAAGGTGAACTTACTTTTTAAAGTTTATTGATAAGTACGTTCACTCGACTTTTTGAGTTACCAATTTCCATTACTTCGAATATGAAGTATTTTCAATATGACAAGTTAAGTTGAAACAACTTTATGACAGTAAGGTGAACTTACTTTTTTTAAAGAGATAGTTCACCCAAAAGTGAAAATTCTGTCATCATTTACTCTCCCTCAAGTTGCTCCAAACCTGTATAAATAGCCTATGGTCTGCTGAACACAAAAGATGATATTTTGAAGAATGTCGGTAACCAAACAGTTGATGGAGCCCATTGACTTTCATTGTATTTTATACTATGAAAGTCAATGGGGTCCATGAACTGTTTGGTTACCGTACTTTCTGTGTTCAGCAGAAGAAAGAAATCCATACTGGTTTGGAGCAACTTGAGGGTGAGTTAACGATGAAAAGACTAAACCTTTAAGCAGACATGGTCAATTGACCAATATATTAATGCTGGTAAATAATGGATTATTTCCTTCAGCTGAGACACTTCAGATGCGCAGTGAATTGCTTGAAATATGATTGGAATCACTTAAAAAAAGGAAAATATAGTGCAACGTGCAGTATAGGCTAGGTCTGTCATATAGGCTACGTAAAATTAATATTTCTGTCAATGCAGAAATATGAATTTGACAGCAATTACTAAAATAGATACTAAAATAGCACTGGCTGAGATCCTAATGATGCCATGTGAAAAGCTCACATCTAACCTGAAGGTTCCCTCTACAGAGCTCATGAACTGAGACCTACATCAGACAGAAGGAGCCAGAGAAAAACCGCTGAGAAACACACTCCAATCCCACACCAACCGGCCAAACACACACCGACCGCCAGAGCCGAGCGCCGCAGGAGAGCTCAGCCGCCCGTGGTCTTCCTGAAAACACACCGGACCGGCAGCAGCACCGTGCAGAACATACTGTTTCGGCTCGGGGAACAAGAGAGCGCCACTTTCGCCTTTCCGCACCGCACCTACCAGTTTAACTATCCAGACAGGTACAAACGCAATGCATGACACACATTAATACTTCCCCAACTATGTTTCAGTACCTGCAAAAGTTCAACCACATGCATTAAGAGTAGCATTCATCGCATTTTGCACTTTTAAGAGACTCCAAAACACATCAACTTAATATAATGAAAAACGGTCAAATTATGTTATTTGCATATTGTTTTGTTAGAGTCCATGGTTCCTTTTGAATTGCTGTCAATAGAGAAATATGTTTTTGACGGCTATTTAGTGCCATGCTTATCTATCTAAGGTGCCAAAAGACGATTTAAAATCCATAAACCAATAAATATGAATATTAAATACGGTTTATGTGTTGCTTTCAAATTGGTTTGTTTGCTAGCACTGTTCATGGCTACTTTTGAATGGGCTGACAAATTTGGCAGCATATTAGTTGATGAAAGGGAGCATGCTAATCAATCTAGGGTAGCTAGCAAATGACAATTTAAAAAAAATACAAGTTCATTTCACAATTTTAAGAACCTCCAAAAACATCTACTAAAATATAATGAACAATTTATCCATTACTTGCAAAGTATTTTGTTAGCATCCACGGCTACTTTTGAATGACTGTCAATAGAAAAAGATGCATTGTTAAAACATGGGGCTAAAATAACTATATAGTCAATCTAGGGTTCCAAAAGACAATTTAAGAAAAATATAAGTCCATAAAAGCCTCCAAAACACATCTACTAATGATGAACTACTTACAGTATGATTGACATGTTTCTTGGATATTGGTTTGCTAGCATACACCGCTACTTTTCCATGGAGAAAGATCAAATTCGACAGCAAATTAGTTACAGCATTGTGCTAACTGGAGAATGCTAAATATGCTAATCAATAAAGGGTGCCAATTGATAAATGTGATAAAAATGCAAGCCCACAAGAGCCTCCAAAAATTTTACTGTAATATAACGATATACTTACGATTTACTCTGAAAGATGAACGTTTAGAAATGTCCGATTTAGAAAGATGAACGTGACAGCAAATTAGCCAGGTCGTGCTTATCAATCTAAGATGCCAAAAGATCATTTAAGATTGAACCCATTTCAGAATTTAAAGAGCCTCCAAAAATTACCTTAAAAAACATGCCTTGAAAGTGTATAACTCGCTCACTGAATATAAACATTTCTCTAGAGTAGATGGATCAAGCAAGTCAGTCATTAACAATGTATTCTTGACCTCCCCTTTCAAACCATTAAACGTCGTTCAAAGGTTAATGAGCTTTAAACCAAACAAGCTCTTGACTCTAGCTCTCTCTTCTCTCTCTGTTTCAGATTTAGAGCGGCGTTTGTGGACGAGCTGCCCGAGGGTTCGTCTCAGTTTGACTTGCTGTGCAGCCACATGCGTTTGGACTTGACCCAGGTGAGGAAGGTGATGCCCCAGAACACAGTCTTCATCACGCTGTTACGAGACCCGATCGAGACCTTCGAGTCGGTCTTCAGATACCACACCTCCAGCGTCCCGGCGTTCCTCAGCGCACACCGAGCCGCCGCCAGCGAAGGCAAACCCGCGCTCAAGGCGTTCCTGGACTCTCCGGAGACCTTCTGGGACCCGAAGGAACCAGGGAATGGACTAGCCAAGAACCCCATGAGCTTCGACATGGGGCTCAACAACCAAAAGTGGAACGGCTCCTGGCCGGAGGACCTTGCGCAACTAGAGGATGCGTTTCACCTGGTGATGATCGCCGAGCATTTCGACGAATCCCTGGTTCTGTTAGGAGCTCTTCTGGGATTGGAGCACGAGGACTTGGCTTACCTTCGGCTCAACGCTCGTGCCAAAAACAGCGTGACCGAGCTGGATGAGAACATGCGGGCGAAAGTGCGCTCGTGGAACGTCCTGGACACGCTTCTCTACGACTTCTTCGCGCAGGTGTTCTGGGAGAAGGCGGGTCAGTTCGGGTTGGACAGGTTGAAAGCCGAGGCGGAGAAACTCAGGGAATCTACGGAGAGGATTCGGCGGAGATGCGTCTCCAGGGAGTCGGTTCCCCCGGCGGAGCTCGAGGATCTGTTGCGCCCGCGGCAGACGGAGTCGGTCACCATCGTGGGGTTCGAGGTGCGGGGGAACCTCTCGCTGCAGGATCAGGGGTTCTGCGTGCGGATGATGCTGCCTGAGCTTCAGTATCACTCGCACTTGTACTTCAAGCAGTACGGGAGAGATATGAGAGCCGCTCCGGCCGACTGAACCCTCAAATGGTCTTGTTTTGGGTGCTTCAGAAGTGACTCTTCGCAGACCAAGTCTGGTGGAAGTGAACCAAGATGCACCATCTGAACACTAGTCCTGGATAAAACATTTACATCGAGGACTTGCACATGTTCAACTGATGGATGCACTAGGATAAGAGACTCTTGGCATTAGAGATGCACTGATTTATGAACATTTTGGCCGATCCCGATAACCGATAATTCTTTATATTTGAAAGCCGATAACCGATATATTCATATCCAGGTATGTTTGTTTAGTTTGCGCCAACCCTGGATTTTTTTAGGTACCATGAAAGTGGTTTGGCTTTAAGCAGAGTTCACCGCCATAGTCAACAGAGAAAGTTGATCATCAGCGTCATGGTACCAACAACGCTTTATTGGATTGGTTTGGTTTTGTCAACATGAAACTAACCCTGAGTTTGTTCAACTATCATCATGGTACGGGCCCCAGGTCTGGTGGAGGTGAACCAAGATGGAAAGATTGCACCATCTGAACACCAGTCTTGGATAAAACATCTACATTAAGGACTTGCACACATTCAACTGATGGATGCACTAGGATAAAAGACTCTTGGTATTAGGGATGCACCGAAATGAACATTTTGGTTGATACCGATAATTCTTTATATTTGTAAGCCGATAACCGATATATTGGCCGATATATTTATGTAAATTTTGAGAGCTTGATTACAAAAAAGTCTCACCATTAAAAGCCATGTCTCAAGCACACAATTATAATGTTCTCATTATAAGTTTATGTAGCCGATATGACAGACTTGTGCTGCACATGTTACACTTTACTGTATTTATATGAAATAATACATTATTTATCAGCTTTAATATATCTGTCAAGTTTTTTTATCAGGCCGATTACATTCAAAATGGACATATATCGGCGGATACCGATATGATGGCCGATATATCGTCCGTCCCTACTTGATATTTTCACACATCCAACCTGCCTGTAATCCAGAGGCGTTCAGTCCTGCTCCTGGAGGAAAATGCGATCGGAAATGTCATACTTCCCACTTCTGAAGTCATAATTCCAAGTTTGTAGCATTCAACTGCTTTGTTGTCAGAAAGAAGAGGAATCATGTGAGGACGGCAGGTTCATTCATGCCTATTTCCTGGGGAAATTTTATCAAAGCCAAAAAGTTTACATTAAGACATTTAATTAGTATCCAATGGATTTAAAAAAAAATGTAGTGTCCCATTCATTGACAACCATATAAACATTGCCTGCACTACATTCACAGCTCAAAGGTAATCAGCTTGATGGTGATCCTGGAATTTCTGTCAAATAAATGCTGTTTTTGCTATATAAAATACATACAATATGCATCAAATGATCAAAATCAGCCCCTATACCCTCATTCACTATTACCTTCATTACTCTCCTAATATAGCACACTTGAAAAAGTGAATGAAAACGAGTGAGAGAATTCAGAAACTGAGTGCGCCGCTTTTGCATAGTTTGTGCTTGCAGTTTAATAATCATTTGAAACTTAGCAAACTGGCAGCTCTAGTAGTAAGATGAAAAGATTTATCTTGGAGTCTGTCATGGAAACTAACATGTATAAATCTTAATTAAACAATCTAATAATCAATTAAAAAGTCTCACCAAGACTTCAGAGTCCCCAACACCTGCGGTGAGATGACTAAACGCCTGTGAAGAGACGACTCGACTCCTGTGAAGAGATGACTCGACGCCGGCGATATGTTATTTCCTAAATTAATACATGATTAACTAACTGTATTTTTCTATGTACATTTCTGAAATGCACTTTCTGTAAAGCTGCTTTGAAACCATATGTATTGTGAAAAGCGGTATACAAATAAATTCGAATTGAATTGAAAAAAGGAAGTTATACCTGTATGATATTGCGCTGTACCCACATTGGACCAGCGGTTTGGAAAATGAATGGATGATTCAGTTGTAGGCGCCATCTTCTGGTCAGACACGGGAATTCATTTGACTCTCACAGTGCATTATGGGTATTAAAGCTGTTGAGCATACATCAGTTGTTCACTCGTTATTGGAGTGCATTGTGGGATTGAATGAGTGCACTGTCCACTATGGTTTCATACATCACTACAAATGGCTGTTCCCTCAAAACCGTATGCCGTATATAAGGGTATAGATCAGGACACCATTGCCCTTAACTGAACTGTATTGGTTTTTCTTACGTAAACAGGAACTGATGTCGAAATGCTGCAATATCAGATCAGAACATTGGCCGAAATGTTCTGTTTTGGCTAAAAAAAAAAGTTCTAACATTAATGATTCAAATGTACAAGGTTAGGCCATTCTCTATTGGACAGGTAGTTGGAGGGGAGGAGTTAAAAAATAAGAAGGATTTGTGACTTCAGATGAAAAGTGACATTTTTTTTACATTTTGTTGAAAAATTATGAAAACCTTTTTTCTTTTAAGAATAGAATAAAGCTATGACTGGGTTTCCCAAACCACTGTTCAATATTTTATTTTATTTATTTATTTATTTTAAAATAAAAAGCTTGTTCAGAAAAACAAGACCAGAAAACAAAAACATGTATTGTGAATGTAAATTCATGTTGCCAGTAGTAGTTGTTCAGTGCTTTACCAGAGAAGTTAACATGACTTGGTGAACGTAAGTCTCTTATACGGAAAAATCCATAAAAGGAGACTAAATGACAGTGTTTAAATCCCATGTTTGCCTGTCACGGAGTAACGTCTGTCCGAGAGCCTCACTGTCTGCTGTCATTAGCATCACTCGTGTTAATCTGCTTAGCCACCTGTTCACCGAACGCACGTCACATCCTCCAGCGTGGTGCGTCTGCACACGACGGCTCCAGAAGAGCAGAAAACAACAGCAGGAGTTCGGAAAAACCCTGCTAATGACTGGCCATCTGTTTCGGGCACTCTCCTCCACAGTGAGTGTGAAAGCCCCTGTCACATGACACTAACTGCAGGAAGTCCTCGAGTAAGAAACAGGAAGTGGAGTCTGGGTGTCACAGGAGCACAAAATCGTCCACACTGCTCCTCTTTTTGAGCCGACCCAGTCTGCCTGTGGTCTCCGTGCGAGGGCCTGAGGCGCAGGCGCTCTCCTCTTCATTACGGCCCTCCACGAACGTGAAGATGGGGTACTTCTCCTCGGAGGAGCTCAGAGCCTGGCCAGGGAAGAGGAGAGGAGGAGGAAGGTGGATAGTGCAAGGATGAAAACTCATCGGGGGTGAAAAATGTGACAAAGAATAGAAGTAATAACAATAAATATTATTCTTATTTTGTTAATAAACAGTATATATTTGATCAAAATTAGATTTATTCATTTCATACTTCAATAAAGAATTTTTTTTTGTAATAATGATATTGTACAGTAAAATAAAAAAAATGTATTTAATAATAATAATAATTTTGATTTACAGAACAAAGTAAAATATTTATTACTTAATTTCGCTTGTAAACAAACCATAGAACAAGAGCCTTATGCTTTTTTAAATTAAAAAAAAAAAAGAAATCTCTTGGTTTCCATATTGTTTTTTTTTTAGAACCCATTAAATATGACTATATAATAATAATAACAATAATTCATTTACTAATAAAAGTAACAATATTATTAATGGTTTACAGATTTTTTTTTAATTATAGAAATTAAAATTAAAGAAATATTACTATAGTAATGACAAAGTACAACTAGTACAACTAAAACACATTGTACTGTGAAAAAATCTGTACTTAATTATAACATTAATGATAATTTTATTATCGGTGCGTTTTCTATGATCTGGGGCTTTTTGGTCGGAGGCATATACGATGAAAGGCCGATATGCTTCAGTTCTGCAGCGTGAGTGAGTGTGTGTGTGTGTGTCTCACCGTCGTGACGTCTGAGCACAGAGTCAGGAGATCATCCCTGCTCCGGGCGTAGAAGCCCACCGTGCAGCTCGGGTCCATGCGGCTGAACGACATCTTCCTGACGGACTTGCAGTGGAACGACTGCACACACACACACACACACAGATGAACACACAGACAAACAACACAGGAATTAATATATTGGATTCAAATTTGGATTATAACTGGATTCAATTCAAGTTTATTGTACGGTTTCAAAACAGCTTCACAGATCTATCTATCTATCTATCTATCTATACACATACAGTCAAACCAAAATTTATCTAGACACCAGATATCAATTTTGATATTTTTTTACTAGTGTGTGCAGGACACTACCGGTACAGTTCATTTAAGTGAGGAGAGCAAAATAAAGTAAACTGTCACATATAACACCCAAAAACTCTTCATACAGTGACTACCAATAACATTTAAACACATTTGGGACAAAAATTACTCAGACACTTTGACCTGATCATGTTTAAGTGTGTTTTATTTATTGCTAATGCACCTTTTTACACACAGACTGAACAGAATGAAGCATTGCTTGGTCACTGGTTGAGCTAAACTGGCATTATGTATAATTGTGTAGTTAAATTTAACAGCTGACAGATATTCAACATAATTCATCTGAGAGAGTCAAACAGAAGGACGGACAAAACCAGTGAAATAGCCACTGATCTGATAACTCTGAGTTCTGCTCATATTTCATAACCATTTTCTATAAACTATAGCGAATAAACTGATAATGTGAGAAATGTTGAAGGAGTCTGAACACATTTTTTGTTTGACTGTATATCATCAATGATACTAAAATAACCCCCTGTAGTACAAAAAACACCATAACAAGCATTATAAATATATGCACAAGTATAATTTGTAACATTTTTTTTGGACTATGCATATTTTGAGGACATTTTGAGGGCGACTACATTACTTTTTTAGCCGAACTCTCCTTTAAATATCCACTCACCTCCAAAGGGAAGTTGTCTTGTTTGACGTCCACAGCAGCCTGACAGTAATGAGGATCCAGATATATCAGCTGATCATCTGCATGAGGCACACAGAAATACACACACACACACAGATGATGTTGAGTGATTCACACAGACTCACACGTCACACGCGTGTCACATGACTCACCCTGGAATCCCACGAAAAACAGGGAGTGTTTGGGCTTCCCTCCGATGATCCCGACACAGCAGCGCAGCTCCAGCAACCTCTAACACACAGACAGAGGAGAGAACATGAGTGTGTGTGAGTGTGTGTGTGAGTGTGTGATTGTGTTGTATGATACCTTGACACATTGGATGTAAGTGGGATTCAGCACATCCGACCCCAGACGCACAGGCACCAGCAGAACGAGCGACTTCCACCCAGACCTCGCTGACTGATCCACGCGGGACGTCCCGCACAGGGTCAACATGTCTCCAATGTACACTACACACACACAGAGAGATTAACTGTTGAGCTGTGCACAAATATACCCTCATAACTGAAGTTGGCTACTACGGTTGTTGTTACTACTATAAAAGTGGATCTCATTAATTAAAATGATCTCATTAAAACTGAGTAAATAGTTTCCTAATAGCAAGTTACCGTAGTTTTACTATAGTAACAATAACTATGGCACATGTGGCAGAAATTATGGTTATTACGGTAATTTTTAATGCAAAAAATGTTTATGTAAATATGTTTGGGTTTTCCAAACTGGGGTTCACGATTAATTAAATCATGTAAAATTAAAAATTAAAAATCTAAATTTTAAAAATATGATAAAATAAAAATAATCAAACAAAGCAGTCACAAAAAAAAAAAAAAAAAAATTTGTATTAATCTGCATGTCATGTGACCATTAACCGACATCACCGATAGAACAGTGAACATGCGGATGTGTTGCAAAATTATACAAATATTAACTTAAATCTCTTCATTTAAATATTATTGGTAAAAGGGGTTCGGTGACAAAAAAAGTTGGGGAATATAGTGGATTAAATACTTGTTTGAAATGTTAATTGATGTTATTCCCTTGTGATCAGAGAGAAGTTCTGCTCAGCCGTTTGACGCTAAAGTTATGATCCATTAAATCTGTTGGGATCTTCTGAAACTGGATGAAAGTAGTAGTGCATATCTTCTCCTAAAGGAATATTCAGCGTTATTTCATTTCAAATTAATATCTATGGACAGCAGAGGTTCTCAACACTATAAAAATATATTTTTTGAAATATTATTGTGATGCTAATGTAAATGCTAGTTCAGTCATTCTACTCAGTTCACTTTAAACTCAACGTGCTACTGTCGTTTCTATCTGATTATTGGAGAAATTGTGAAAAGTAAATCCTACACCGTTTTTTTTTCCCTGTAAACCTTAAGATGAAGATAAGAGAAACCAAGCATTAAAATAGGCTAAAACAAATAAAAATAAAGATATTTTAATTCCTCTCCTCAACAGTTCTTCATTTCTTTATAAAAGTGTGATTTCAAAACCTGGAAAAGTCATGAAAAGTATAATGAATTTTATAATTAATATACATTTTCCTAGTTATGCCAAGCTTGAAAATATTTTCTCAGTACAAATATTATTAAAAAACCTTATCCCTAATTCATATCCAGTAAATCATGAACAACTGAATATTGATGTGTAAAATGGGGAGCCTCTGTCAAAGTCATGAACGTTATATCACAAAACAATTCATAGACAGGTCTGAAATGCTGTCAGTGTTGTGTGTGTGTGTGTGAGAAGACAGCATTAGCACACACACTCGAGTCGCACTGCTAACGTTGAGCACAGACTCACTGACCTGTGCAGTCCTGCGCCACGTACACCGCCAGATCCGACAGCTCCGACGCCGACACGGCCTTCCTGAACACACCAACACACACTTTTACATGAACATACACACATCCGCTTCTTCTCTAGTATATTTCTATATGAAAACACTATTGAGAGATATTAATGATGCAACACACCGTGAGAGGCCGTGATTCTACTCTTCTTTACAGGGTGATGTTAGGCACAATGCAAGCAGACTTTATCATGGTGAACTAAACGTAACTCAAATCAAATTAAAATGCAGCGATATGATAATAGTTTGGAAGTCCATTTCTGCCACATAACTAAGAAAAAAAAAATCTATGAAAATCTATATAATTATGATAAAAAAGTCATAATGACAGAAATAGATTACATAGACATTACATAGAAAGTCACAATGCTTTAATTTTCTTTTTATGTCATAATTTCATAAATATGCCTTAACATATCATACATCATAATTACAAATTAGCAAAGATTGTTTTTTCTTTTGTGGCAGAAATGGGCTTCCATATAATAGACCCGAATATCCAATTATTAATGGCATGTAATAATTAGCATAAACAATGGTTAAAACTATAACCATAAAAAATATTTTCATTACCTGAAACAAAATGATCTTTAACTGAAATATAACAAATAACAAAATAACATTTCATTTCATTTCTAAGGCACACAGGCAACATTTCTCGGTTTTCGGTTTTGGTGACTGCACTAAAATAACTAAAACTGAAATAATTTATTAAAAAAACTATTGACATAAATAAACTTTAAATAAAAAAACTAATATAAATGACCAAAAGGAACACAAAATTGATAAACCTTTAAAAGAAAGTTTTATTAATTTATTAAAACTTTAAATAAAAACGAACTCAAAATATTAATAAAAACTGTAACAGTATATCAATGACATTAAAGCAAGACTTTGCCAGTTCAAGACTCACTCACTCACATCGAAATAAAATAAATTAACAAGAAAAAAAAAACAGATAAAAACATCAAGTTTCTCATTTTTATTTAGTTTAACTTGCTGTACTAAAATAACTTAAACTGAAATAAAAATGACTAAAAAAAAACTATTGACATATATATATATAGAAATTACAAAAATTGTGTGTAAATGTGTGTGAGTGAAAGAGTGTGTGAGTGAAAGAGTGTGTGAGTGAAAGAGTGTGTGCAAAAATTAAAATTTAAAAAAAAAAAAAAAAAAAAAATCAAAATATGAATAAAAGCTGTAATAGTAAAAGAGACTCTGTCAGTTCCAGACTCAGTACTCACTGCAGTATGTGCGCGGCGATGGCGGGCCCGTACCAGTCTCCGGCCCGTTTCCCAGAGGCCCGGCCCAACTCCACCAGCCGGTGCAGGCCGAAGGGGGCGGGGGGGTGATCCCCGAACCAGCACACCAGCCTGCGGTGAGCGCTCTCCTCCTGGGACTCACCGTCCAGCGCAGTGCCCAGGCTGAGCCGGCGGGGTTTCCCCGAGTCTCTGAGGGACCCGGCCTGTGTGAGAGAGTCCAGCACCTGCAGGTCATCTTTAGTCTGGTGATGCGTCGCAGGCCACGTCCAGCCTGAGCACACACACACACACACACACACACACACACACACCAGGGGAACAGCATGTTTATATGCATACTGTGCAGGAGACACTACTAGTGCACTATATACATGAATTTTGAACAATAACCGTTCTTGTCTTATGACAACTTTCATGAACTTTTTTGAACCACTTCAAATGTTTACTACTGTACTTTAAAAATTAACAGTAGACATTGTGAAGGCGTGTTTGTTTGGACTTATTAGTAGGGATGCATGATATAGATTAGTGGCCAATATTTATCTGTATCAGTTACCTATTTAATAATGCATAAAAACTACAGCCTATTTCCACATTCCAACGCAAGCTTCTAAAACAGTCAATCAAAAAACATATTGTTTCACATGTTACCATGTTTTAGCATGTTATTACCACATGTAACACTTTTTTATTAACTAAATCAAGTGAGAAATTCTTTGAACTTTCAAATAATACTACAGAAACAAAATATTTGATCAATAATCATGTTAAATCTTATATATATATATATATATATATATATATATATATATACACACACATAACACAGTATATATATATTAGATTTAACATGATTATTGATGAAATATATAATTTATTAAACAGAGTAATATTTATGTTTTGATGTTGCTTTGATATTGCTATGTTCTTATAAATGTTATATATATATATATATATATATATATATATGTATGTATATGTATGTATGCGTGTTTGTGTATATATATATATATATTTATATAAAAGTTATAAGAACATAGCCATTCTTCCGGGTCCAAAGTGGCCGGATGGTTGATGAGGGTTAAGGTTTTTACATTTGTTATGTCTGTTTATAGTGTTTATGCATGCATATTTATGACTCCGTCCTAACATTGTGTGAGATATGGGAAAAAGTATTTTTTAGACAAATCTAACTCCAAATCCCCAAAAAAAGAGGCTCAATGACTTTTATAAAAATATTTGAGACAAATTTAACTAGTAAAAAAAAAAAAAATCCCCCAAAATATCATGGATAAAGCCGCTGATGATATGCCGATCAACGATGGCCTGAATGCAAATACAGCTATATATATTTTTTTATATGGTTATATCTCTTAAAAAAATTTAATGTGTATTTTGATAGTATTAACACATTTTCTAAGTTAGGTTCCCATCCTAAAAATGCATTTTGAAGAATCTCTTTAACATTACTCCCGGGTCAGAGGTGGCCGAGTGTGTGATGCGGGTTGAGGTTTTCAGTGTGTACCCGCAGGCATGATGTGCAGGATCAGTCCCTGAGCTAACAGCATCTGTGCGCTGCGGAGCATGCACCCCCATCCCGCGTCAGAGCCGAGGGCCGAGCCGTCCAGAGGCGGGAAGCCTCTCCTGTAGGTCATCCACAGCAGCGAGGAGAACGCCCGCCGGAAACACTCTCGCTCTCCTGAGAGGAAACACACACACACACACACAGTCAAAGCCTGCGCCGCTCAGAGCAACGGTGCATCATCATCACAGTCCTCTCCGCTCACCCGAGTAGCTCAGCTGATAGCACTGTCCCAGCAGACACACGGGACGGCTCTTACTCAGACGCGGCTTGCCCTTCAGAGACCAGCCTGCACAGAAACACAGATGTGTGTGTGTGTGTGTGTGTGTGTGTGTGTGTGTGTGTGTGTGTGTGTGTGTGTGTGTGTGTGTGTGTGTGTGTGTGTGTGTGTGTGTGTGTGTGTGTGAAGATGACATCTGCAGTAGAGCTCAACTTTAATATCTGGGTTTACTGAAATGGGTCATTTAGCGAGAGAAGAAGGTAAAGGACAAAACTATCAAACTACTAGAAACCTATCAGCTATCTTTTGATATAAAAACATACATTACCATCCAAAATTTTGGGTCAGTAAGTTAATACTTTTATTCAGCAAGGACACATTAAATTGATTAAAAGTGACAGTAAAGATATTTATAATGTTTCAAAAGATTTATATTTGAAATAAATGCTGTTCTTTTGAAATGTATAATAAGAATCAGTAAGAATCCTAGAATTTTTTTTTTATCACATTAAAGTGATAAAAAAAAAACATGAAAAACAAAATGTATCACGGTTTCCACAAAAGTATTAATCAGCGCAACCGTTTTCAACACTGATAATAATAATAAATGTTTCTTGAGCATCAGATCATCATATTAGAGTGATTTCTGAAGGATCATGTGACACTGAAGACTGGAGTAATGATGCTGGAAATTCAGATTTGATCACAGGAATAAATTAATTTTAACATATATTCACATAGAAAACACTTATTTTAAATTGTAATAATATTTCACTGTTTTCTTACTGTATTTCTGATCAAATAAATGCAGCCTTGGTGAGAAGAGACTTCTTTACAAAACATTACAAAATCTTACCGACTCCAAAGTTTTGACTAATAGTGTATATACTGAAAGTAACATTAATAATACATTTACCGGGAAAAAAAAAATTATATTACATGTAATAGGGCCAAGAAAGAGTAAAAAAAAAAAAGCCTCATTATAAAAAAATCTACTGCATTTTGAAATTTGTGCATTTTTTGTAACATTACTATTATGTTCTCCTGAATATATGGAGGAATTATCTTAGCTGTCATAACTTACATGCTAATTCAATCAAATTAAATATTTTTCCTACATTATAAGACATGAAACTAGTGAAATCCTTTTTACTAAAGCATACCGCTCATCTGAGAAGCCGAGAATAATCTTCAGCTAGATAGTTTAATAAGATAATGTTTTTAAAAATGCAATTATTGTTTAAAATAAACGGCAATATCAAAAACGTTGGTATAGTGATGTTTTGTGTCAGTCATTTATGTCAATTATTAACCAACAACCTACCGTTCAAATAAGTTTAAATTCAATGAAAAAAAAAAATGCTGGCCATCAAAAAACACATTTAAAATATAAAAATGGTTACAAAAATTGCTACACAGCTACACGCACTTCTCCACACACCTCCATATCTGACGTTATTCCAGGCAGAAACGAGTTTGGTTTTGAGTTTGGTCTTCTCCTTGGACTGCTGGACGTGTCCGTCGACGTCAGCGCTGAGATCCAGCGGGCCCGGGTTCGACAGGTTCGGCAGGTGGACCACCTCGAAGGACGCCAGATCATCTGCAGGCTCCATCACTCACATCCGAGACCCTGTTGCCATGACGTCGAGAATCTGAATCCCAGCCGTCCAATCAGAGGAGGGATTGAGAGGTCACGGGTACGAGAGATGCTGTGGGACAGTGAGAGAACAAAGGTAACTTACTAAGCTCTGTTCAGGACTTTCTCAGGGAAATACTGAGACACGTGACACACATCATGTGACTGAAGGAATCCTACAAATGTGTCAAAGCTAAAGTTAAGCCACATTAAAACCACTAAACTCAACAAAACATTTTAAAAATATGTGTGTTTAGATACTAATTATATGTTTAAGCATTAAATATAAATGATCCCGGTTTATCTGCCCTTTAAAGACCTATTGAGAGATATACTCTGAGATTTACCATATGGTACTAAATGTATATATTCATATAGTATACTACGTAATCATACTGTGTGGTACTAGTACTACAAAAGTATGTTTAAAAACAATATGGCCATAGTACCATCTCCAAATGTACAATGTTTAGTTGTATTATATCGAATTTTATATGTGATATAGTGACATACGTTTGTTGTTGGTGGTTTGTTTGTTGAGTTGACGCGGAAACTGTGTTTTGTTTATATGCACTGATTCGCCTTTCGGATACATAGACGGGTAATTTCTTTCACGAAAGGAAGCACATTTTGAATATGTGATAGAATACTTACCTTAAAAGCTGTTTTGACAGTCATGTCATTGTAAATATCGGATGATTTCTGCTGGAAACTTTCCGCATTACAAACACGCCGCGACGCCACTCAGATTGACTGCCTCTTCCTTCACTTGGCAACGAAACTCGTATCTGTCCTCTGATTGGCTGTCTGGTGCTTTAACGCTTTCTGATTGGTCAATCAGAAAGTAATAAGCAGGGGCAGTTCTGGGAATGACCTAAACACTTACAAACAAACATATCCGAATAATTTAATTTGAGCGCAAGATCAAGTACCGGTAGGATCTGCATTGTGTTTGATATTTTGTGTCCAAATGCATTATTTTCCTTTAAAATAAAATTCATAAATTCTTAACACGTAGGCCTATCATTTATTCTATAAAGCCTATATAGTTTGAATTAATTTTTAGTACATTCAAATAATATTATTTTATGTTTTAATTTATTGTTTAAACAGGAAGCACATTAAAAATGATGTCTGCAAGAGAAGCATATCTTGTGAAAAGAGATGATGAATCTTGATAACATTTTGTTTGCAGTCAGACCTTTCACATTTTTAACGTGTTAATATATAGCCTAATTTTAATGTGTTTATTCTCATGTTCTAAGAGGAGGAAAATGGAGGGAACATATTTTTATTGCAAATCAAAAAAAAATCCAATATTCAGCATTTATTCCCTGCCATTATTAATGTTGTGATCTATGGTTGTGATGCAATAGCGCCTCACTGTGTTCACTTCACTCCATTATTACAATACAACATATAGCCTACATGTCATAAATGAAATTTCCCTTTCTCTTGAGCAGTAGGGTATCGTTCGTTCATTTGTTTTTGATTTCATATATGAAAACGAAAAAAGTAGAAAACAACTCCTTTTTTCGTTTTTTCGTTTTATTTGAAAAACGAAAAAACGAAATTATGACTTGATTTTTGGTTTTCTCGTTTTTGCACGGAAATCAGAGAAACCACTTGATATTCCGATTTCCCCCTGTGGGTGGGGCTAAATCTGATTGGCATGAAATGATTTCATTATTTTTCAAATTAAGAGTTTTCCAAACACTGTATTTGTTAGCCTGTAAAATTAATAGTCTATATGCATGCTATTTGTCACCCAATTATCTGGCTTCACTGACTGAAAAAATCTATTGAAATAGCCTAAATGTAAACATTTTCACGCATTGAAGTTGTCACGGTGGTTATCAAACAAAAGGCAGAATGGAGAATAAGGCCCTTCTTATTGTTTATATTGCATTCCATCGCAATATAGGTTACTTTTGCCTTCCCTATACTCCTGCTCACTACAGTTTAGAGGATGCCTTTCAAGGCAATCATTGGCAAACACCTACAGTAGTCAACCAGAATGCCTATTTTCGCCGCAGAAAAAATAAACCAGTCGCATTTCAAGTACTTCGCGAAATGACCTCCAGGTGGCGCAAATGGATACTGTGCAAAACAGCAGCAATTGCCGCATTTTGAAATGTAAGTGGGGTTAATGTCAATTAACAGTAAGGATGAAAAACTACAACTATGGTAAACAGAATATTATTTTTTTTTAGGCCAGAAAACGAGAACAATATCCTATATTTCATATTGTGGGCCTATCTAGACGTCGGTTGGCGACATAAGCCTCTTCCCCGGGGGAGCAGCGCGATAACAACAAAAAAAAAAAATTAGGTGCAATGAAGCTGATTTTTACTATTCTATTGAGGAATGAATGAAGAGCGCTTTTAGTCCAAAAGAGCGCACATTTAGAAAAAAATATTATGTTCACGTCTCATTGCTTTAGAGAGAATTATTATTTCTATAAATTTGTTCACTAAATGATGTGCTCTCGAGGGGTTTGAGTGCTCTCTCCACTGCCACCACAATAGAATAAGCATAGGCCTATATGTCATCAAAATGAAAAAAAAAAAAAAAAAAACCTTTAGGGCGGCCTAAGGAGTTCCCGTTTTATATAACACGAGCCTATAATATGTGAGTTATCACACCAGCAAAAGTGCTGATTTTCTGAACATCTGCACAATCGCAAATGGGAAATGATACAACAGTTCAATAAAGTTACTGAGTAACTTTTATAGGTAGGCTACCTGGCTACATTCTTTTTTTGCTCCGTCCAAGAAAACAGAACAAACAAGCAGAGCTGCGCCTCCGAGCAACACGCGTTTTGTTCCTCAAAATATCTGCATTTTTGACAGAATCAGACGAGTAAATGATTCATGTAGACTACCCATTCATAAATACAGTCGTTTGTTAGGTTAAGCGAATTAGGATTTTTAAACGACTCGTTTGAATAAAGGATTCAACTCCCTCATTAAGATGGAGACTTGCCGCCACCTACTGGCGCCTGGCTGTGTTAGTTTCATAGTTAAAAAGTAGACGTTTCATTTTTTTTTCAATCATTTCATATTTCTACCTACAATTGTTTTACATTTAAAACATTAATCTCTTAACATAATTTATGCAATTATAATTTGCTGTGTAAATCATCATGCCATGTCTAAACAGCCTGTGTCAATCCAAAAATGTATTTTATTGATACCGACTTTCTTTTATTTGGTCATAGTAGCCAGCCATACACCGTGTCTTTGCATTCTGATTGAATTTGTTGACTAAATGTAAGAATCTGTCATAAGAGGACAGATATATGACAATGATCCTGCATTATATTGTATTATAATGACGATGTAATATTAGCCTACCACTAAACTTTGACCTTATGCCTAGGCATGCTTATTACTTGTTCTAGGAACCTCAAAGCATATTTACATTTTTGTCTAATTTGCTACTCCGTCATGATGTTGTAGGGCCCAAACATTAACTCAAGCCCAGGGGCTCCCAGCCCCCTAAATCTTGCCCCCTAAGTCCTGTATGTGCATACAGGCCATACATAACAAATAGACATTATAAAAAATATATTATTCATGAGTATTTAAGTTAATAAAAACATCTAAAACAAAGAATAAATGTATTATTTAAATTTGTATAATGTCAGTGCGTGAACAGGCTTTTAGGCTTGAATTTAGGCTATTTCAATAGATTTTTTCAGTCAGTGAAGCCAAATAATTGGGTGACAAATAGCATGCATATAGACTATTAATTTTACAGGCTAACAAATAGAGTGTTTGGAAAACTCTTAATTTGAAAAACAATGAATGCATATCATGCCAATCAGATTTAGCCCCACCCACAGGGGGAAATCGGAATATCAAGTGGTTTCTCTGATTTCCGTGCAAAAACGAGAAAACCAAAAATCAAGTCATAATTTCGTTTTTTCGTTTTTCAAATAAAACGAAAAAACGAAAAAAGGAGTTTTTTTCTACTTTTTTCGTTTTCATATATGAAAGCAAAAACAAATGAACGAACGATACCCGGACCCAAGGTACCCAGATAGCAACATTGTTTCGGCCCAGATCCGGCCCACATCCTGCACATGTGCAAGGATGATCTGGCCCACATGCAGAGTGTTATGACGGCCCTTGGGCGTCTCACTCCTGTTTGCCAGATCTGGGCCACAAAGCAGGCCATAGCAATGCCACATGTCAGCCAAGAGCAAAAGAAGTAAACCAGAACTGGACCTTATCTGAGCCATATAATCTGTGTATATTAAATATAGAGACATCTTAGCCTGTTAAGCCTGGCTGTTGTTGGTGCAGAAGCCTGTTAACAAGCAGAATCACTGAAGGAAAGAAGAGAACAGAAAAAGAGACGAGCAGAAACACAAGATCTACAACTGACTTCAGACACAGTCTTAGATGAAATCACCTGAAGAGAAAAGAAGACATTAAATCTGTGAAGATCTCAGCAGAGGAGGATTAAACAACTCCACAAACAGCATTACCAGCTTCACTTATTACTAACCAGACTGACTTTATTTCTGTCAGACTTCTATAATAATAATAATATTAATAATATCCTTTATTTTATAAAGCACCTTTAAAAGCAGCTTCTCAAAGCGCTGTACACACAATAGACAATTGTTAAAAGCAAACACATCAACAGGTGAATGCAAGTTTAAAAAAGTATGTCTTAAGTTGACCTTTAAAAGTGGCATAAGTCTGGGCTTCCCTAAGTTCAAGAGGCAGAGAATTCCAAAGGACAGGTGCATAGAAGGAAAAAGCCCTGTCACCCATAGATTTTAAGCGAGTTTAGGAACCACCAGCATGCTCGATTGTGAGGAGCGCAATCTGCGATTCGGAGTGTAGGGGAGCAACAGTTCAGATAGATAATTTGGAGCCAGGCCGTGCAAGGACTTATATGTAAGCATCATAATCTTAAAATCGACTCGGAACCTAACTGGGAGCCAATGCAAGGATTCCAAAACCGGAGTGATATGGTTGCATATTCTGGACCCAGTTAAGATCCTAGCAGCAGAATTTTGTACACGTTGAAGCTTGTGTAGTGTAGATTTAGAAACTCCTAAAAGAGCGTTACAATAGTCAATCCAAGAGACGACGAAGGAATTTATCAGCTTTTCAGCTACGGGAAAATTTAACATAGGCCGCAATCTAGCGATGTTTCTAAGATGGAAAAAAGATGTTTTAACAGTACTCTGAATGAAAGAATCAAATGAAAGATTAGCATCAAAAATAACTCCAAGGTTCCTCATTTTACTCTGATACCCAAAACAGAGCCATCAAGATTAAAAGACAGAGAACCAACTTTGGAGGTTTGATGATGAGAACCAATGAGCATAACTTCAGTTTTATCACTGTTCAAACACAGGAAATTATTACTCATCCAGGTTTTTATTTCAGTAATACAACCAGAAAGAAAATCAACGTTGGAGCGCTCATCTGGTTTTGAGTGTATATAAATTTGCGTATCGTCGGCATAGAAATGATAATGGAGGCCGAGCGATCTCAAGAGATAGCCAAGTGGTGATAGATAGATATTAAAGAGTAAAGGGCCCAGAACTGACCCCTGGGGAACACCAGTGAGAACAGGGCTAATCTCAGACCTATGGTCACCCATTGAGATGAACTGGGAACGGTCAGCAAAGTAGGACCGAAACCACTTCAAAGCTGTCCCCGACACACCAGACACTCTCTCAAGACGTGTAAGCATTAGAC